TTTGTATGGAAAATTGTACAATAATTAATAAATACTAATCCAAGAATAAACTCTCTGCTTTATGTACTCACAAGTATAAACCTACTTTTGCCCCACCCTGTAATGTCTTTAAACCTTTGGTTAACATTTTGGGGGACTTTCATAAATTTCTAAAAAAAATAATAATAAAACTTTGCTCATTATCCGTTGTGTAGCTATGCTATTTCTCTAAAAATTTCCAATGTGTTACAAACCATTTGTCAAACTGATATTATCTCTCACATTTCACATACCAGTAAATGGTTGTGGAATGTTCCCTTCTATTTTTGAAAGAATGAGCACAAGTATGGCTTATAGATGTTTTTCAGTTTAATGTAATGGTAATTTTCACTTACAGAAGTTCACTTCAATCTCCATGTCTCTTTTCACAGACTCATTGCTCACTGACATAAACATAAATCACAAATTAAGCTAATTCATAGACCTTGAAACGGAGTCAGTTCAATTTTCCCAATATTTTTTTCAATACCCTCATCTTACTCAACTACAAGACTTGCTGGGCTTTAGAAGCAGTAAGTCCATGATTCATTCAGCCCCACGTGTCTGCTGGTTGACTTTGTGGAGGGCACTACAAAATTAAAGACAGAAGTGAAGCACGTAATTTCACTGTACATCTCGTTGTACCATTGGGATTTTATCTATGCAGTGTTTTTTAAAAGAAAAGGCAAGTATAAAAGGGACATTATAAAAATATATAAAATAGAAAACATAAAATAATATGGAAGAATAAGACAAAAAATCAATAATCATATTAAATGTAACTAGATTCTTTTCTGCCTTTAAGAGATAGATATTTTCCGTGGCTGGTGTAGCTCAGTGGATTGAGCGTGGACTTGTGAACCAAAGGATCATGGTTCAATTCCCAGTCAGGGCACATGCCTGGGTTGCAGGCCAGTTCCCAGCGGGGGACGCATGAGAGGCAACCATACATTGATATTTCTCTCCTTCTCTCCTTCTCTTCCCCTCTAAAGATAAATAAATTAAATGTTTTAAAAAAAGAGATAGATATTTTTATTTAGTTTTTTTTTTAAATCTAGCATTGCTATTTCCAAGATAGGAACCCAAAACAAAATGACAACAGAAAAGTGACAAATACCCAAATGGAATAATGTACCAGACAAATCCTAATCCCCCATAAAAGGTTGTGGGACAATTATAATGATAATGTAAAATAAGACATAATACACACTGACAGCTTTAAATAGAAAAGGGAGATATTATACGCTGGTAAAAAGTACCATCCACCAAGAAGAGATTGCCATGAATCTTTATACATTCTTTAAAATCTTCAAAACACACAAAGCAAAGACTGTTTACTTTCAAGGTATAGTAGTGAAGTTTATAATCTTACTAGGAGATTTTAACATGCCTATTAGAAATAAGAAATAAGTAAATGTGTAGAATATTTAAATAAAAATTTAGTAAGCATAGTCTATAAATATTGAGATTGTATATTTTCTTCAAACAAAATAGCACATTTGCAGAATGTTACAAATATACATACAGATTCCAGTATTTTAAGAGAAAATAAAGTACATATATCTAAAATGAATGAAAATGGCATAATGCATATAAAGCATATGAGATACAGAATCTTAAATGCATGCCATTAGAAAACAAGAATAGAAAACAAAGGAAATAAATATATGTATTTTCAAAGAATAAAAACAAATTGGCTAAAAAAACTCAAATGTCTAAGAAAAGAATGGTTAAGGCAGCAAATTAGAAGAAATGAATGGATAATAATAAAACAGAGAATAATATTTAAATTGTAAATATAATACTGAGCAATAAAATGAAAACCTGATTCTTTGAAATTACCATGATTTGATCAAGTGAAAAATAAAGTGAAATGGCCCTGGCCTGTGTGCCTGTATGGTTCAGTTGGTTGAAGCGTTATCCCATAACCAAAAGGCTGCGGGTTCAATTCCCACTTAAGGCACATGCCTAGGGTGTGAGTTTCATCCCCCGTCTGGGTGCATACCTTCCCAGTCTAGGCTCAGACAGAAGATAACTGACCAGTGTTTCTCTCTCATGTTAATGTTTCGCCCTCTCCCTTCCTTTCTCTCTAAAAGCAATGAAAAATGTATTCAGGTGATGATAAAATTTTTTTAAAGATAAAGAGGAATAAACAATTGCCATATAATTCTAGATGTAGAGGAGATTATTTAAATAATAAGAATTTTCAGTATAACTGTATATCAATAAATTTGAAAATCTACATAAAATGTCTGCGTATCTAGGAAAATATATGAAATTGAATCAAGAAGAGGCAGAAAATCTAAATTGGTCAGTAACTTGAAGAATTTATAAGAATAATCACCTGTCTACCCCCTAAAAATGCTTCAGGGATACATAGTTTATAGCCATCCTACTAAACCTGCCAGAAGCCAAATTCTTTGTTATGTAAACTGTTCCACAACATAACTGAATGAAGCTTCCAAATTCATAATGAAAATTAGTGCAACTCTGGTACCAAAACAAGCAAGTTTGTGACATGTGCCAAACTCACAAACATAGCTACAAAGATCCCAAATAAAATATCAGCAAATAAATCCAGAGCTATTAAAGAATAACAAATCAAAACCAAGGAATTTTGTATCGACCTATCATACTTTAAAACTACTATTTTCATTCCTATTCCCACCTGATTTTCTGCATCTCTGCCAACACAGGAGTGGTAGGAGAAAACTCTGGTTTCTCATTTGATTTTTTTATTTGAAATTTAAATCTTTACATGTAATAAATCTTTACATTAAATCTTTACAGTAATGATGTAATATCTCAAGTCAGTTCAAAGCAAAATTATGAAATAAATTTTATCTTTGGATCCTCCAGTGGGTGCCCATCAGTAAATGAATGGATCAAAAAATGATGGTACATATACACAATGGAATTCTATGCAGCAGAAAGAAAGAAGGAGCTCCTACCCTTTGCAACAGCTTGGATGGAACTGGAAAGCACTATTTCTGGTGCTTTTTTTCCCTCTTTCTAGAGTCCTTGGGTTCTTCCTCTGAGCAAACAGGGATGGGTGTGGGGCCGTGGGACAGCCATTTCCTCCCATTAACTATCTGGAAGAACTGCAAAGTCCTGGCATACAATTCCACTTCAGGCTCTTTGACAGACAACAGCAAGTATACCCAGGTCTCTATTTTCCCACCCTAAAATCGTTTAGAAAGCCTGCACTATATACACCTTCTTATCCTCATCCTCAAATCTATCTCCAGGAAAGCCTGATAATCTCATTTTGTAGGGTAAATTTGATTTATGTATTTGCTGCCTCAGGAGAATTTGCATCTGAAATGTAGCCTGTAATTAGGCAATGAATACTTACCCACCAGCAGAACAATTAGGTCCTATGTTTGACGAATTCCGTTTGAGGCCTAATTTCTGAATTCTTCTAAAACCGCAAGCCCAGATCTTATCCTGACGCTTCAGCCTGCTATACAATAATGTCTTTCAGACTACAGCCAGCCCTGGTTTAAAGAGTTAAAGAGACAAAATCCCACTTCTGCCCCCTGGTTCTTAATCCAGTGAACCCAAATTTTCTTCCCATGAGTACAGAGCAGATAAAAGCTGCCTCTCATCTCCCAAGTGGATTCTGTGGGGGCATCAGGAGGTATTTTGGGCAACATCCCAATGGTACTTTGGCCAAACTATGGTCGTGCAGAAGCAGATTTCTGTGGAAATCTAATGTAGTGGGGGCACAACTCCACTTGACCATCCTTACCGGGGCCACAACTATGAGCCATGAGCCAAGCACAGTACACCGATGAATTTCATCTGGTTCTTACATTTTTTACATTTTTCAGTTCATATGCCTGTGAAGCATTTTCTCTTGCAGTCTCTGCCTTATGTTCATCCCAGGACATAAACTGATACAAAAGAATTAGGCATCTCACAAGAGCACATATGTTCTTGTTCCTTCTCCTCACTTCTTTCCAATGTTTAAGGCACAAGACAAAAGGTGAGGTCTGTCGGGTTCCAGTCAAAACTGTCCTTCTGACTAGTTGTCACCCATAAGCACTGGATTTCTGTCTCTGAGAATTGGACCAGAAAACTTCTAAGGCAACTGATGGTTTAACAGTCTGTGGTTTTATGTCCGTGCTCTCCATCCGTAGTAGCAAGGCTTAAAATTATACGTTAGCAAATTCTTTAATGTTTGCTTTCTATGTAGTCGGAAATAGGCAAGTACTATTATATTTCCATTTATAGACAGGGAAACTCAACGCCTAAGGCAGTTGAATACAATAGCAATTCAATGTAGAAATTTTAAAAATTTTTTTGGCTTCTTTAAGTAGCTTCCCTCTGACTTAGAAAAAATCTTTATTGTTCTTAAGCACTATTTTGGGACTTTGTATTAATTTAATATGTATTAATTATTCACCAGAGAATATTTTTCTCCCCTGGATGTACTGATAAATTATTCTCAAGAGGTTTCAAGGTTATCAAGACTGGAGGATCTGGAAGCATCACAATGTTGAAAACCTTGAGTAACTATTGCCAAGGAGTAGGGATGGCTAAATTGCACACACACGTATACATGAGAGCCATTTACTGAAGGGGTGACTACCAACTAGCTATTTTTAAACACTTAGTTTCTCATCTCATAGTTTGTATTATGGTTTACACATATCTGTAAATCCAGCAAGTTTTAATTTAAAAACTTAATTAAAACTTAAATGTTAGAAGAGGACGTTTTCCTTGGTTTCTGGTTTCTCCTCATTGAAACCACAATCAGTGCAATTATCCAAGATGGTTTCTGTCAGGAGGCTACTGAGGCATCTCCCCCTTAATGAACTGCAGGGCCATCTAATTGAATTCTTCCTATGTGTGCTTTTCCTGTGCTTAAGAATCTACCTTACAGATATTAAAATAGTCTGTGTTCAGATATGGTCTCATTGTTCTAATTTCTCTTGGGTGAGAAAGTGCCTTGCTAATGGTTGTGTCTCAAATTGCAGATTACGGTATTTCGGATGGGATCAGAAGGACACCAGGACATAGATTTAGCTATCCTGACAGCTTTGCTCAAAGGTAAGAGAGTCTGTGTATCCAGAAAGTGCAAAAGTAACTTAAGTGGATTAACACAGCAACCTTGTGTCTCCTGATAGTGGGTATAATTCTAAATGATACCATTACACGGCCAATTGTGGATAACACAAGGACCTCTCCTGTGAGACACGCTCCAGCTATTCAATTCTTCTATAATGGAGCTGTTACAGAATGACTCAATTTCATAAAATTTAAATACACTACAATTTAGTCATGTCCACTGAATCATAAAAATATACAAAGTAAGAGACCAATGTAATATGTAAGACACTAAGTTCCTGAGGTTATTTAATAATTATTGCCCTATCTACTTTCAAAAATCACTTAATACAGCATAGATAATAGATAGCTAGACATAGAGATATTATAATATATTAAAATAGAAAATCAAAACCATTTAGAGCAATAGAGAAAGAAACCAAAAAAGTAGGCTACTGTACTTGTTATAATTGAGCATTAAATTTAACTCTAAGTTTCTTCAAAGTCGAGGTAAAAATAGAAATGCCCGGAGTGAATGGTTTTCCTTTATAAGGAGGCTGTTGGTGTTTGTCCTGTTTTTAGTCCCAGTATTATAAAGAGGTCTCACTGCATGTCCTCATCCTTGCAGCCATGTGCAGGAGAAGATTATTTTTCTCCAACCCCTACAGATCAAATCCTGCCCTTAACGTTCCTTAATAGGTAATTTACATTTGGCTAATGATGTTCGGTATGAAAATAAACAAGAAGAAGTTGCCTCTGTTTAGGACTGAAATGAAAACCGGAGCTATACAATGAAGCAAAACCACAGACCTTTTGAATGCGGTTCCTGGTTGGCGAGGTCTCCCTCCTTCCTCCTGAGCCCCATGTTCCACCTGCTGCGGCACTTGTCACACTGCTGGGCACACCCTGTTTGTAAGCCTCCTTAGACGACAGGCGCTGGGAGGGCAGAGAAGGCGTCTTGTCCATTACTGCTCTCTCACCACCTCACATGATTCATACCACACAGCAAGTGTTCGACCAATTTTGGTGAATAAATGAAGGAATGAATGGATGACTTAGTGATTCAGTGATAGATTCCAAAATCAAAACTCAGAATAGCAATCACTGTATTCTAGGTTTCCATCTACCTACTCTCCTTCCACTATTAATATTTTCTTGACAGTCACTATCATGTGGCAGTCACTATGCTAACTGCGAAGCTTTTTACAAATACTGTAAACATTAATTGTTGCAACAACTCTATCGTGTAGAAGCTGTTTTTAATTCCCATTTACAGATGGGGCCAATGAGATACAAGACATTAAGTAACTTGCTCAAAGTTGCCATTACTAATTAGTAAGCCTGGACTTCCAAGTATGCCTAACTCTTCAGTATACCACGTGACCCCTTTGACCATGGAAGTTGACCTTCTTCGTCTACTCCCCAAATCAGACATGCACAATTTTTCAAGATTCCGATCACATTTCAGGAAGCTCACAGCCCTAGGAACTGTGTCATCTGTACCAGGTTGAGAATCTCTGCTCTTAAGTGTTTGGTTCCAACGGACTCAATTCCAAATACATACATGTAGAAGAATTGAATTGTGTGGCCTGAACCACAAAGCATACCCTGGGTCCCCTTCTCCATTTATCAGACAAAATTAAAAGTTTGAGGCAAGTCACTCTGATAATCACTATTCTTACATAAAAATAAAAAAACAGAGACTTCCGCCAAGATGGAGGTTTAAGGTGGATGTGCCTGCCTCCTCACACAACCAAGTTTAGGGACAACTAAATATTAGCATCAGAAAACACAACCAGAACACGGAAAACTGAACTTTTCGGAAGTCCGCTAACAACAAATTCTTCGGCCCGACCGGTAAGGGGCGAAACCGGCGTCGGGTGAGGAGTTACAAAGGAGTCGACCCGGGCGCGGAATCCAGACGCGCGAATCCAGTCGCACGGGTTCCAAACCCAGGATTGGACCTAGTGAGCTACCGAGCGGCCCAGTGGGTGAGCGACTACGGAGGAGTCAGTGGGGAGGCGGTGGCAGCGAGTTGACTGAGGTTGCATGGTTGCACGCGGGTGAGGGAGTGAGCGCTTGGACCGGCGCCGGCGGCGGCGGCGGGCGCCGCCATTTCCCCGCTCTGACCACGCCCCCACATACAGCGTCACAACCCAGCGACCTGGGAATCCAAGGCGCCGCTCCTCCCACTTAAAGGGCCAGAACAGACCAAAAATGTCGCAGGAAGACCTCAAAGCCCCAGAGATAAATCTAAGTGATGAAGAAATAGCAAATCTCTCAGACGCACAGTTTAAAACACTGGTCATCAGCTTCCTCACAGATCTGGTGGACTATAGCCACAAATTAGAGAAACATATGAAGGCTAAATTAAGGGAAATGAATGGAATTCCACAGGAAAACCATAGAGATGAAAAAAAAACTGGGACTCAAATCAATGGAGTGGACCAGAACGAAGAAGAAAAAAATCATCAGACAGAAAGGAATGAAGAAATAAGAATTCAGAAAAATGAGGAGAAGCTTAGGAACCTCCAGGACATCTATAAACGCTCCAATATCCGAATTATAGGGGTACCAGAAGGGGGAAAGACACAACCACCAGTGGAAAAACTATTTGAACAAATAATAAAAGAAAATTTCCCCAATCTGGCAAAGGAAATAGACTTCCAAGAAATCCAAGAAGCTCAGAGAGTACCAAAAAAGTTGGACTCAAGAAGAAACACACCAAGGCATATCATAATTACATTAGCCAAAATTAAAATGAAGGAAAGAATCCTGGAAGCAGCAAGAGGTAAGGGGACAATCACCTACAAAGGAATCCCCATCAGGCTGTCAGCAGATTTCTCAAAAGAGACCTTACAGGCAAGAAGGGGCTGGAAAGAAATACTCCAAGTCATGAAATCTAAAGACCTACAACCAAGATTGCTCTACCCAGCAAAACTTTCATTTAGAACGGAAGGACAGATAAGGTGCTTCTCAGATAAGATCAAATTCAAGGAGTTCATCATCACCAAGCCCTTATTATATGAAATGTTAAAGGGACTTATCTAAGAAAAAGAAGTTAAAGAAACATGAACAGTGAAAGGACAACAAACTCACAGTTATTAACAACCACACCTAAAACGAAAGCAAACTAAAAGGACAGCTAGATCAGGAGTGGAAACATAGAAATGAAGATCTCAAGGAGGGTTAGCAACAGGGGAGTGGGAGGAGGAGACGGGGGGAGAAGGTACAGAAAACAAGTAGCATAGACAGTAGATAGAAAATAGATGGGGGGGGGCAAGAATAGTATGGGAAATATAGAACCTAAAGGACTTGAGACACATGGACATAAACTAAAGGGGGGTAATGGTGGGGTTGGGGGGGCAGGGTGGAGGGGAATGAAGGGGGGAATAGAACAACTGTAACAGCATAATTAATTCAAAAAATAAATAAATAAATTTATTTTAAAAAATAAAAATAGCTAAAAAAAATAATAAAAAATAAAATAAATAAAAAAACATAATAAAGCTGGTAACTAACACTTGTTGAGGACTTATTAAGTGCCCAACACTGTGTTAGGTGCATTCTATGTATAAATTCACTTAATCCATACAACAGGGTGATCACCAGTTTATGACAAGGCCCAATTTATCAACAAGGAAATTGGACAATTTAGTAACATGCCCACGCCAGACGGCCTGACCCCACAGGCCTCACTTACATATTCCACCACAGCAGGCCCACTGGTGATAAGTGGAACACCATACTTACCACCTTGAATCAAGCTCGCAGCAAATGGAATAGTGACTCACTTATTAGTTAAAACATATTAACCATCATATTATCTTCTATTGAAAACATTTGCTTCCTCTTTCACTAATTTGTGACCTGCAATTGTGCTTCCCCTTTGATCAGTCTTAGAATTTTTTTGAAATGTAAATAGTTGTTTTCTGATTGTTCATAACAGATCATATGAAATATACTTTACATTATAACCAATCATTTATACATATGTGTTTAGAAAACTGAAATTAAGGTACACAAAATAATGTTTCCATTGACTATAGGCATTGAAAGTGGATATTTTCTATTTTCTTTAACACCGATTATATCCCACTAAATTGATTTCATGACCTATTAATAGATCACAATTTGAAGTTTATAAAACATTGCTATGGGAGATTAAAGGAAATTATGATTGCTCTAAGAAATAACATTTTAATCATTATAATCAACCTTATTTATGCAACAGTTGATGCTAATTGGAATTTATGCCATTAAAAAAATTATGATGTATGAACTCTAGTTTGTGAAGGCTTTTAAAATGCTCTCTGATTTTGACTCAATTGATTGTGAAGTATTCCAAGCATATACTTTTGTGGACTCTACCTTACAGGCCAAGAGCATACTTATATCTGTTTCAGATTCTTTAATTTGTTAAATTATTCTTCCTACATATTTTTAACTATGCCTGAGCATGTAATATTGTTTATGCTTATTTTTTCTACTATCATACCTAGTTTTCAATGATCTAATGCATGAGAAATCTTTGTACAGTACAGCATTTATTCTCTCCATCATCTGAGAAAATCAAAAGTTAGATAAGGCGGGGAGGAGAGAGCTGTGAAACTAACCCCTAGCTGGTCTATATTCTCAGAGACTCTGGGGAATGGAAGGCAGATAATAGGGAACCAGGTGGTTGTGGGGAAAATACACTTTTACTGTCTCCTGTTTCTGATCACATGGGGTTTTCTTTTCCTCTGGATCTGTTAGTAGTAAAGGATACTATTTATATGATACAGACTTACTGGGTACCTATTCAAAAATTAAGAGAGGTAGACCATGAATGCTGTTACAAAGAGCTAAGAGGTCCTTAGTGTCTTCAAATGCTGACCTGAGTAGCTTTGGAGAACAGGTGATATCACATTTGTCATTCACATTAAGGTAACCACTCTCCAAGAGTGGTGGTCTGAGGCTGGAGATACACCCTTCTCCACCTCTTCCATTCTCCCCCCACCACC